TTAAAAGCTGACCTTGACCCTTAATGTGGCCACACCCCATTTCAGAACTGCCTCTGCCAGCTCAGGCCTGGACTCCCTGCACACAGGAGCTCCTGGGCACCCCTCTCTGCCCCCAAGCACCAGGGTGAAGCCTGGAGCTCAGACCCTTCTCTCTGCTCCTGGGTCTCATCCTCCCCTCCCCAGGGAGGGACTGGGCACTGGGACCCTCAGGAGCACTGGGCTCCCTGGGAAGCCTCTCTCTAGTGATTCCAGTGGGGCCTCTTTGATGTTCCGAGCTGGCAAAGCCAAGCTCTACAATTACCGTGGCCCTTTCTTCTGAAACAGGCTCCTTCATTTTGAGCCACTCTTGTCAGCATGTGCTGGCGTTCATTTGCAAATGCACCTTTGCTATCGTTTTAAAGCAAAAAAACGCATTTCAAGAAGCACCACTGGGCCCTTTGCCATGGTGTTTGTTAACGTTATTAATCTGATTTAAATGAAAATTATCCTTTATATTGCTTCCCACATAGGCACACTTTTTTTTCTCCTTAAAATTGAAAGGTTCTACCAAATGCGATGTTTTCCTTTCCTGCAAGGATGTACGGGGCTGTTTCAATACAGATTTAGTGAGAGTGCAGCAGCAAAGCACTGTAGGTGGTGAAGCCCGGTTATCGTGTGTATGATTAGTTTCACCTTGTAGCTGTGTCTCTGAAAATGCAATTAACAGTTTCATATTCAGCGCAGCCAGCTTTTATTCCTGCCGCATGGTGTGCAACATTTGCATCATAAAAAAAACCTAATTGGTAAACACGGTCTTGCCAGCGTCTCTGGATCCACCCAGTTCTCTCCACGTTAATTGGCTCAGCTTCAGCACACGCTGGATGGAATTTCAAAGGACGCCGCAGATTAGAGAGCTGGCAAGCACTTGTGTTTCACGGAACCGACTCCAAGGAGACTCGGGGAAAAATATTTTAAATTAATGCCAATTGCGGGCGACTTGCTTGTCCAATTGTTGCCATGGAGACCGTTGTGTCTGCTAATCTGATGGGTGTGTGTGTGTTTATTGGGATCCGTCTCTAATGACCTTCAGAGAGGAAGTCAGCCGTGGTGAGCTCCGCGCCTCGGACAGGGTGGCCACTGAGTGGTCCCTTCTCCACTCGGACCTTCTCTGGTGACTTTCTCACACTCACAGCCCACCCCTTCCCCCTTCAGCCAGGCTCGTCTGTGTTGTGAGCCCGGCGTGGCACAGGATAGGGTCTAAGCACACACAGGCCACACAAGGCATCCGTGGCTTGTGAAGTGTGACGCTCTGCCTGTGTCCCTGGGGAAAGTCATCCAGACCCCCGGAGCCCCTGCCCGTCCTCCCCACCTCCCCTTGTATGAAGAGACTTGGAATCATCAGGGGGTTCCTGAAATCGGAAGCACTGTTTTCTTTTCTCTGAGAGGCATCCGTGTGGATCTGCTGATTACGAGTCTGAATGAAGAGTTCTTGGGAGTGGCTCTTATTCCCTGAATGAGGAAAAACAGCAGGTGTCAGTCCACGCACTGTACATGTTTTCCACTGAGGCCCCCAGAATCTGAAAAGGCCACGCAGGCAAGACACTGGGGCCCCACGGCTGTCCCTGCCACATGCAAGGAAAAAGCTCAAACCTCCTCCCCAGGGATGTGACTGAGGCTTTCTTAGCAGAAGCTGATCCTTTCGTTCCCCCTCCTTCTTGATCCCGGCTTCCGTGTCTGTGTTTGTCTTAATTACTAGGCTATCGTGAATGGATGTGTTTCCCTTAGTGTTGGACCTGGGACCATCAGACAATTGTAATAGACAGACATGTTTGTTATTTGTGTTGAACTCCTAATAATAGCTGGTTGCTTAATTGCAGAAAACAGGAAGAGAGACCTCGTATGTTCTCTGCTACTGGCAAAAATCAGTTCTCTTTAGTTAAAAATTAATAATATGAACTGCTGGTGAGTAAAGAGAAAGGGCGTGCTTTCCCCCGAAAGTGGATTCCAGATGCACATACAGGGGCGAGGGGTGGGGGGCGGTGAGGACCTTTCTCTCTTTCTCCCACCCCTCCCTCTACCTCCCTCTCACCCTCCCTCTCACCCTCCCTCTCTCTCTCAGCAGCCCTCCTCTCACTTTTTCCCTCTCTCTCCCCATCTCTCCTCTATTTGTCACAAATTAACTAAAAGGACCTCAGAGTTTTTAATCGGTAGACAGGGGGTTTGCTCATTTTAGGTTATAAACAAAATGAACAATCAGAGAACATATGGGGAAGAGGGAACTAAAGGTATAATGGCTTAGAGAAGTTCAAAGATCAACAACCAAATCACTAGATTTAAAGATTCAATGTGGAGTAGAAATGAGGCACCGATCGGCACTCTGCAGTGCTCATGAAGAAAGGCCAGCTGACTGCCCAACCCCCTGGGTATCTGGAGCTGAATTGTTTTCCTCTGCTCTGTCCGAGCCTCTCATTTCAGCAACCCACTTTTATCTGAGGGATTTGAAGATAAGGGAAGAAAAAAGAGAAACAAATGAGAGAGGAAAAAGGGAAAAAAAGAGATTCTGGAGAAGTTCTTTTTCTCTTAAAAATTAGGAAATGAAAGTAAGCTTTTGCATTAAAAATACTGCATGAAAAACAACAATCTTAAATCTTTTTTGGAAGAAGAGGAAAGACAGATGGAGAGAAGTAGGGGATGGATGGATGAATGGACATGTGAATGGGTGGGTAGATGGATGGATGTGTGGTGGATGGATGTGTGAGTATATGGATGGGTGGATGGATGAATGGGTGGAGGGATGTTTGGATGGGTGAGTAGATGAATGGATAAGAGATGGCTGGCTGGCTGGGTGGGTGGATGAATGGAGGGACAGAGGGAGAAATAGATGGGTAAATAGATGGATGGATGATGAATGATGGATGATGGATATGGATAGGAGGGTGGATGGATGATGGATGGGTGGAGGGAGGAATGAACTGATGAATGGGTGAAAAGATGGCTGGCTTCCTGGATAGATGAGTAGATGGATGGATACATGGGTAGACGGATAGATGCATGGATAGAAGGATGGATGAGTGGATGAACAGGTGAGTTGTTTGATGAATGGGTGGATGGATGGATGAACAGGTAAAGTGATAGATAGATGGGTACGTAGGTAGATGGATGCTGAATGATGAGTGAGGGATGGATGGGTGGATGGATGCTGGTTGCTGGATGGATAGATGAGTGAATGGATGGGTGGATGAACAGGTGAATAAATTGGTGGCTGGCTGGATGGATGCATAGACAAATGATGGATGGGGTAGATGGATGGATGAATAGGTGAGTTCGTGGATGGATGAATGGATGGGTGATTGGATGGATGGATAGAGGGATAGATGGATGAACAGGTAAATTGGTGGGTGGATGGATGGATGGGTGAATGGATGGGTGGGTGGAGGAATGGATGGATGGATGGGTGGGTAGGGTGGGTGGATGGATGGATGAATGGGTGGGTGGGCGAATGGATGGAGAGATGGATGGATAAATGGATAGATGATGAATGATGGATGATGGATGGATAGATGTTTGATGGATGGATAGATGGGTGAATGAATGGATAGATGAACAAGTGAATTGGTAGATGAATGTATGTTTGGATAGATGGTAGGTCAATAGATAGAGGGATAGATGGATGAACAGATGAATTGGAGGATGGATAGATATATGGATGGATAGATGGGTGGGTGGATGGGTGGATGGAAGGAAGGCAGGCAGGCTGGAGGGATGGATGGATAAATGGATGGATGAATGGAGGGATGTGTAGGTGGATGATGGATGGATGCATAGGTGAATGGTTGGATGGAGAATATTCAGCAGTTGCAGCAGCCCTGCCTAATGAACAGTCTCTTGGAAACTTTCCAAACCTGCACAGGGAGCTGCCTGGCTAAGAAGGAAGGGAAGGCACAGGGCCATGAATCTGAAGTGGAATTCAAGGAACCCAGTATCTCCCTCAAGGAGCCTTCTGTTCAGCTTATGGAAGCCCTCCTAAGCTTGAGGGGGTAACATTAACTTTTCTCCTTTATGGTTGATTTTCCTTCATTCTTACAGGTGTTCACTGGCCTTATGAGTCACATATGAGAAGACAAATATGGAAGTGCTTGGCATCCCATCTGGGGTGGAAGGATGGGCACATGAACTTTCCTAAATCTCTACTTCTGTCAGACTTCACCTCCACTCTCCATGGAGATGTGGCTGAGCCTAATGTCCATTCTCCTCTCCTTCTGGAGAAATAGAACTGAGGGTTTGATTTGGGTCACAGTCACCCCTACTTGGAGTAAAATCTGCATTTTCCAGCTCCCTTTCATCTAGGTGTGGCCAGTGGATCTCAGCTAGAAGGTTAGATACATGCCTTCGCTCCCTCTTTTCCCTTTCTCATCCCTGCTCTTGGAATGCAGATGTGATGGCTGGAGCTGACGCTACACCATGGTCCAAGAGGTGACCTGGGAATTTCAAGAGAGGAGAAAGGAGGGCTTCATGGATGAGTCCCCATATTGGCCCTGAACTGCCTGCTTTCACATTTTTATATGAGAGACAAATGTACCATGTTTCAAGCTTTGGTAATTACAGCCAAAGCTGGTCCAGCAGAGGCAGCACTCCAGGGCTGCTGCCTGTGCCTCCATACCCACTCCAAGTCAATCGCTGGACATACTTTTTAAAAATCCTCTTTCTACGTTTTGTGAATTTTGGTAATTCTTCCATACAGATGTGTTACTCCTTACTTTAAAATGTTCTTCTGTGGCTTACTAAGCACTATGGATTTTTTCTTTGAAATATTTGCTGTCTGAGTGGTGTGAGCTTGCTGGAGCCAGTCTCACCGTGACATGCTGGGTAAAGCCAGCGTCGTGTCATCTGTGTGTCAGCCCCTGGCAGTTCCCCCTTCGTTCCCTGTCCTTTTACCTATTCATGCACTCACTGAGCAGATTGTTTTAAACATCTGCTTCTGAAAGGCACGTGTCAGACACTAAGAGCAGTGCACAAAGGAGATGTGTGGTTCTTGCCCCCGACGTGTGGGATTCTCTCAGCCAAGGAGTGGGAAGGAGCAGTTATCCAACAATTTCAGGACCAATGGCTCCCCTGCAAACTCGGGATCGGAGTGGCTTCCTCCACATTCAGAAAAGGAAGCTCTTCTCACCCAAGTTGATTCTGAAATCTTTGGTGAGTTATGGAACATTTGATCTCTTATTGTTGTAGTTTTTCAACCAAAAAAAAGAAAGAAAGAAACCATGATTTGACCAAGAAAGAACTGTGGGGGAAAAGCACCTTCATATAAAATAACTCTCTATGACCAACTAATCGAGCTGGATTTTTCTAAGTAAGATTGTTCTTTTTCTCTTTTTAAAAACAAGACTCGTCTCGCGTATATCTGCTCTCACTTTCTCCGTGGGTCTGAGGAAACTACTCTGTGAGACAGAAATTCGATGACAGTTTTTTCAAACCCCTTGTCTCCGATTATTAGTTTGTAGGACAAGTTCCCCAAAACACCGGAGGGGACGAAATATAAGGTGTAGTTTCCTACTTTCATTTTCACTTTCAGTATTATGTAATTTTATATCCTTCTTTGCTTATAGCTTCTTAAGAACCTAAGCATCATGATATGTTCTTAATTCGTACAATTTTCCATCACTAAACATGGTGATCATCTGTGACGATGGCCTGGTGGTTTGGGGGTTTCTTTTAAACATGTGCTCCCTCTTCTGGTTGAATGGATGCTTCAAACTGGAATGAAATCAAACACCTGTGCATCTTTTGTGCATCTTTGATTCAAGGCATTGGTATTTGTTAAAATCATAAGGGATTTCAGAAACAAAGATGGTAGAGAAGAGGCCTTTACCAACTTTTCACAATCACCGGAGACATAGACTCTGGCGTGCTCTTTTGTAAATTTTCCCTTCTTCCTGTGTTGTGAGAAGGCAGGGGCTGATGTGAAAAACTCACAGCATCAAACAGGCACATTCAGTGGCTTTAGCAATGACGTACAGACCCAGGTGGGGTTTTGTGTGGGTAAAATCACCACAGATATCCTAGCAGAGACCACTCTGTCATCTGCACACCTTCCTGTCATTTGCACATCTTCCTGTCATTTGCACACCTTTGTGGTGTTTGCTGGGATCTGTGTGCAAGGTGCAAGGTGACTATTTCAGGATTCCGCCTGTGTTTACAAACTGGTAACTTCTCAAACCTTCTCTGTGGAGGCGATTGTTATTCTAAGTGGAAAGGTCTTGTTAAAATGGGGCTCTTCCTCCCCTGCCCGCCTGGGACCATCTGGAGTGGGGGGAGCAGCCGCACTGGTCTTCCTAGCATCTCAGGTGCTCTGTGGGGGGCCCAAGACCTCGCTGAAATTTGAAAGGAGGAATCTTAGTCATCAGGAATAAATTAGCTTTTGTTTACTGTGTGTAAGGCAGCAGAAAAATAAGCAATACTTTTTTAAAAATAGACTTTTTAAAGTATATAAACTTCTCATACTGGTGTTATGTAGGTAAGTTTAAGTTACCCTGAAAATATATTTATTTGAAATAACTTTTACTTAACTGGTGCTATATAAATGGGGTGCTACTGTATTTTCCTTAAAACTTGAATTTTTTCCATAGTTTCCAATAGTTTCAAGATTTCTTCATTGCCTGTTAGCCTAAATGCATAGTGGGCAGGACAAAACGGAATTGACGTTTGTAGAAGTAGCTGGTCAGTGGTGTTTCTGAGGTTTTGAGCAAATCCATCGATCTTGGAATTCTTACTTTTTCAAGTGTAGAAATGATGTAGTGTGTACCCCACTGGGAACCACCCAATGCTGTTAACACACCGTTAAACACAAGCTATTTGTGTATCTGTGGGTTCACTCTCTAGATGTCTCTGTGGCACCTACGATGTCTGAGGCCTGAAGTAGGCTCTGAGCTGGTGGATGGGTGAGTAAAGAAAGGAAAGGATGGGCCTGGAGACTCCTGGCCCCCCAGGATCTCATGGTAGTGGAGGAGAATGAACTCTGTCCTCCCGTGTTGAGGCTTTGCCTTGTGCTGATCTTGCTGAGGGCTGCTGGGGATGCCCAGGTAAGCAGGGCGGTTCACACAGGCCCCTGCCTCCTCGACAAGGACAGGGACAAGAGGAAGTGCTCTACGGGGTCCTGCAGGGGCATGGCTGGAAGTGAGGGTGGAGGGTCTGGGGCAGGTAGAGGCTAGCCTGGTCTTGAAGGCTGGGTGGAAGACAGTACCTACTCAGTGGGTCTAGCTGGTGCCTATGGCAGGGCAGGATGGCATGGGGAATTCCGGGAATGGCATGGCGTAGACCAGTGGTGAGGAGGGTGGAAATCCAAGTTTCAAGTGTACAGTGAGTGTGTCATTAGCCATGCTCATAGATCCAAATCAGAAATTCAAATGCTGGGTTGGTGTTACCTCTTGTGCTGTTTCCAATAAAGCTCAAAGATTGATCTCTTTATCCTGTGTTAGACACCCAGAAAGAGCTGCACCCAGGCAGGAAGGAGATTTGGAACTCCTGGGGTAAGCTTTGCTTTTTGGCCAGAATTTAAATGTGTCCTTATACTCAGCTTGATGACATGGTTTTTATGTTAAATGGGAAAATTTTACTCATCTAAAATTTTTGATTAAGATTACCCAATTATTAGGAATCCTGGCCTCATCGTTGGAAACATTTTATGTATTGTATTTTTAATATGCTGTTATTTACAAATCACATATACCAACATTTCCCTCATTTGCAGGTTCTGCTTGCACATGCTTAATTGGCTTCATTTGCATTTAAAATAAGACACTATCTTTCCCATGGATAGGAACAAGTTGCTATGTAGAATGAAGACTTCTTTTGGGAAATTCTTGGCAAAGAACCTAGCTGAGTGGTGACAGTTAATAAATAGCACGTATTGTGCATAATTGTGCTTCAGAACTGCTTGCATTTAAATTGGGTGGAATGCAGATTTGGTAATTGATGAGGGCATTTTCAAGTCCGAGCTGGAGACTGGGATGATGAAATGTCTGAAGTGTCGCCTTGTGCATGGGCACCTTTGCGGGTTCACTGAGGGGGGACGGTCATGGGCACCAGGTGGGGCCTGCTGGGGCTTTGTTGGTTTGGACAAATGAGAAGAATTCCTGCTATGCCTGGAGGAACTGATCACATAGGAAGCTCTGAGAGTGCAGGAATTGCAGGGAGCTTAGAGGCAGGAAGAGCATCTTGGAAACGAAGGTGAAAGGAGAAAGCCTATGTCTCATTTCAGAAGAAAACTGAGAATATCAATGTGTGATAAAATTGAACGGTAAACATTTACTCACCACATTTAGTAGCATATGTACTTAGTAAAACTTTTTAAAAACAACCTTACAATGACTAGACCATGAGAAAGATAGACACGTGCGTGGAAGAGAATATAGAAATAAAACTGTTATAGAAGGGTCACTTAAATTCTAAACATCGGTTAGATGCCTGCCATGTGCCAAGTGCTGTGTGAAGATAAATCAAAAAGTAGCCCTGAAGGTTTTAAGGCCCTGTGGAGACAGATCACTGCTGCCTGCTGTTGGGGGGCAGGCTGCTGCTTTTGGAATGACAGCCTTTATTGTTCAGGTGCAATTTGTAAAATAAATAGAATCAGCGGAAGACAAAAATATGAAATAAATGCTAAGCCATTCTTTGATAGTGAGAAAGCACCTGAGGGTGTTTCTGCCGTGTGAGCCGCCGCCATGCACGTGAGGCACGTTCATCTGTTTATGAAGAAGGACAGAACTAAGTTGAAATGCACAGACCTGGCGGGGAGCCCCCGCGGCCTCCTCTGCAAACAGAGCCCTGCGTTTTGGTGTCTCACTCCTGTTTCCTTTCTCCTGAAAATGAAAATAAGAATGGGCAATTATTCAATATTTTCTCATCATGCAATCAGTAGAAGTTTTGGTCGGTGTAATCATTGATTCATTGATCCGTTCATTCCTCAGAACCCATCAGGCAGTGTGTATGCACACACCCATACACATACACATGCAAGGCACACCCACCCCCTCCCACACAGCACACCCCCACACACACTCACACATGTGCACATGCACAAACCCAGACACACACACACGTGCACGTGCACACAGCATAGGGGCCAGACTGACTGTGATACTTTTCCTTCTAGCCCTTTCTGTGTTTTCATGCCTTCGTCAGATGCACCTTGCGCTTCCTCCACCGCAGGGCCACATCTCATCACCACCGGCCATCGTCCGCTCTCTGCTCTCTGCTCCCTGTGGGAGGTGCCCTGTGAGGCCCTGCTCCCCTCCCCAGCCCCTGCGTCCAGGTCCCCTTCATCACTGTCACACCCTGTGGTCACTCTCCCCTTGTCCTCTCTCCCGATGTGGCATTGGTGTTGAGTGGGCTCAGGTGACGTTTACGAGAAGCAAAGGAAATGTTAGGGCCAGAACACCTCCTGCTGTTGGTCCCTCATCCCCCTGCTAACCCTTCCTGCCTCCCCCAGCACCAACCACACCCCACATCGCTGCAGCTCCCCCTGTGATGGGCTGAACTGTGGTCCCAAAATTCACCTGTGAAGTGCTAACATCCAGGGCCTCATAAGGTGACTGTATTTGGGGAATAACACCCAGGACCTCACAAGGGACTGTATTTGGAGAGAGCATCTTCCAGGAGGCAACTGAGGTTACATGAGGTCATGGGGTGGGCCCGGCTCCAGCAGGACTGGTGTCCTTGAAAGAAGAGACACTGGAGAAGAAGCCACATGAGGACACAGGAGGAGTGGCCACCTGCCAGCCAGAGAGGCCTCAGGAGAAACTGACGCCCAGACCTCAGCCATCAGCCCCCAGAACCGTGCCGGAGAGGCCTCAGGAGGAACCGACGCCCAGACCTCAGACGTCAGCCCCCAGAACCGTGCCGGAGTACATTTCTGTTGTTTGAGCCGCTCAGGCTGTGGGGTTTGTTAAGGCAGCCCTAGGGAGACCAGCAGGCTTCCCACCAGAGGACCACACAGGAGGCCCTCCTGGTCCAAAATGTTGCAACCGTGCGATAGTGCTGGGGTGTCCCTAGGGTTTCTTGTCTTTGAGACGTGATGTGTTACAGGTTTACTTTTGGAAATGTGGGGACGGCCAGGTGGCCCCAATCAGTGTGTTTCTGTGACAGACCCGAACAAGTCTCTTGGCCTAAGGGACCGCGGGCCTACCTTCCTCTGAGTG